CACACACACACACACACACACACACAGAGCGTCATGCAATCACATTAACACAAAAATTGCAGACAGGGGTCCCACAGCGCATTTTCAGCTCAACAACCATCTGTAAGGCATAAGTGTGTATGGTATGGTGTATCGAATGTATGGTCTGCTGCATCAGCGTGATAAGTTATGGGAACAATTAAACTGATCCTTTTTTTTTTCAAGCTCCCTTCTATTTGTGGGGAGCATCACATGCTGGGAAGCGGACCCAGCGTCCTATTTCAGAACCTACGCAGATGACAAGAGCAGTGCAGCATTGATTGCTCTGGCTAAAACAGCCAGAGGATTAACTGCATGCTGAATGCAATAATGATTATTGCTCAATAACCACTTGAAAGCCACCAACTCTYTCTCTCTCTCTCTCTCTCTCTCTCTCTCTCTCTCTCTCTCTCTCTCTCTCTCTCTCTCTCTCTCTCTCTCTCTSTCTCTCTSTCCACAGGCACCTCTCTCAGAACACAACACTATGGACCGCAGCATTGTTGTCATACCGGACCTCCACTCAGCTAACGTGGAGGTGCAAAATTCTGGCTACAGTCAGAAGAAAAAACACTACAGTAGCCACCAGTACAACCAACATGGAGGACAGAGAGAACTTGCTGCACTGGCATCCTGTAGCTACCATATAAAACTTGCTGTATACAGTGGGTGGAGGTGCAAAATTCTGAGGTCGTGTGTGCGTTAGGGCATTGCTGTGTGACCACCTGTGGAATCGCAGAGGTGGGAGTGGTACCAGATTTCCTCAGCCACACCACACCTGACCACGAGCCTCCGTGGGGACCGCGAGCCACAGGCAAAATGCATAATCCTGACAATTGTTTGAAGGTGGGGGCAGTGGTGCTTTAAGTGTGGATGTAGCGTGTGTATATTGGACGTAAGGGACGCTGAGTCCAACTTCCAGCATAAGACTGTTGAAAAAAAGAAAAGTGTTTAAGTATGGACAACAGTGTTTGAATGGAGCAGCGGAAGTCGATCACCACCGTCAAGCGAACGGTACAAACTCCATGCTTCTCGTACCGTCTGCACCTGAATTGAACTCCCGGTCATAGGGACTGAAAGTTGTGGCAAATACAGCTATTATGACCGCGCTTTCTATTCAGGTGAAGACGGTAGTGACGGTAAGCATTGAAATCGTTCGAATAGTCAAGCCTTGAAATCGTATAACTAGTCGGGCGAAGTTGGGCGGTAGTGATGGAAACCATTGAAGATGTTTAAGCATTGAAGTTGTTTTAAGTATATTGGGGTGTAAATTAAGTATATTGGGGTGTAAATTAAGTATATTGGGGTGTAAATTAAGTATATTGGGGTGTAGACAGCAGTCACGGTAAGCATTGAAATCGCTTAAGTAATCGACTAACTGGATATGTAACGAGGAGGAGGAGCACAGAAACCACAGCGCCAACATGCTGTTCCATCGCAGAAGAGATTACTAACATAATCGACAAGCCAAGAATGACAAGTGGCGGCAATGGGAACAAGGGCATCTTGAATGGGGCGACGGGGGTTACCCCGTCACTCCCATCATGGATTGCTCCTCCTCCTCCTCCTCCTCCTCCTCCTCCTCCTCCTCCTGCTGCCCCCGTTCTGTCGCCTTCTGCCATAGCTCCCTCACCATCTGGCAAAGGAAGAAGCACACGACGAGTGTGAAAGGGTTTATCGAAGCGCAGCTTAATAGCCGCCACAGCTGTCAAGAAAACAAAGATGCCAAAGAGTACACCGAAGAAATTCACAAGAGATTTGACATTGCCATGACCTAACAAAATAAAGAGGATGCTAGTGGCGCACTCGTAGAAGAGGGCTGCGGTTGGCTGTGTGGTCCCTTTAGCAAACCACGACGGAAGCTTGCCGCGAAATGCGGCACCCTGTAGGGTCAAAGCTCCATATCTCAAGCTGGACTGAAGGTTCCCCGCAACCGAAAAGGACACAAGAACGCCGACCACGAGTGATGCAATATTGCCAAACGCGCCTTTTGCAACATCGTTCGCCAAATCTGTGGATTTGGCCATTGACATTGAGGGAAGCACACACAGGTACGACACGATCAGAAGCACGTATGCCATCATAATGATTGACATGCCTATGCCAAGTGCTAATGGCAGATCCCGATTAGGTCTAGGCATGAAAGGAGCCAGAACGACAATAGCACCCGATCCCGAGTAAGCCCACAGGACAGCAAGGAGCCCATTACCGACACCTTTCAACTTAGTTCCGCTAAACGTTCCCCGAAAGAAATTGCCGTAAGCGATCGACGGGTCACGCCACAGACTGACTGCTGCTGCCGCCATAAACAGAACCACTAGCGCCGCCCTGCATGAGTTTATTCCTATCTGGACCTTCTCCTCCAGAGCCACCCCAGCGAGAGCGATGCCTGTGAAAATAACCATGCATGCAATCGCAAGTAACCTCTGTCCTACCACAGAGCTCGGAACGAGGTAGTCCGCAATGACCAGAGCTTGAATGGACAAAGCCGCATTGCTCTCGATGACGAGGACCGTCCAGATGTACGTTGACGATACACCATCGCCAAAAGCCTCGTGCAGAAATCTGGCATCCGCTAACTGGTCCGGGAAACTTGAGCCTAGCTCGGCTGAGATCAAGCAGCTACAGATTGACATAAATGCCCCTAAAACCCATAGACAGAACGATGCACCGACGCTTCCCACCTCATTTATTGCAATCCCTGGACTGGCAAATATGCCACTGCCGATCACGCTAGAAATAACGAAACTTACACAATATACCAACGACACAGTTTGCGGCCTCCTAGAATCGCTGTTTTCATGCAAAGGAGCGATCAAACCATCAAACACTCCCTCTTCTTTAGACGCGAAAGCTGTAGCACGCCCTGTCTCCGTTGCCGAATCTCTCCCCTCTGAAGACTGCACGAACGGCGAGGAATCCGCCAGGGAACTAGCTCCCAAGAGCAACTCATGTTCACTCTCACTTCCTGCATCTGGAACTGGATTTTCTCCACCATTGTGACCATAGCCATCTGCCACCTCGGAGGGTCTGCCAACGGTGATGAGCTCAGTGTGGGCTAATAAGTTTGCTACATCTGGGTGTTCGACTCTCTGCTCATGTTGTCGCTCGATAGATAAGGAACTGTACATGAACCTGAAACAAAAGAAAAATGACCCCCACTTCAGAGCGAAACACAATCCTACCATCAATTTTCATCCAACGTAATGAGTTTGGGTACATGGGAATTGATATATATATAGTGTTTAATACTTTCGACTGCAGCGTAGCAAATAAGCATCTGTATTAACTTTTAAGCCAATGGAATTCCATGCAATTTGTTGCTTATGGAAACGACAATGACGTTTGTTTTCGAGTTTACAACTTTACAGAAAACTCGATGATGAATTGCAATGCACCCAACAATTCACACCGCTTCTCACAGCACAACACTTCATCATTCCTCACTCGGAACACGAGGTGCAAATCAGCACGAGATGAGTTCACTTCGTAAATTACTCGGAATTCAAAGTCTTTTACAACAAAGTTCTTACGTATACACGATTGGGCGGCTATGGCCACCAAGCAACCTCAAACAGGTATGATTCCCCATCTCTCTCAATCCCTACACTACCTTCGCATCTCTCTCTCTCTCTCTCTCTCTCTCTCTCTCTCTGAATGTCTTTCCCTCACTTCCACCTCTCTCTCTCTCTCTCTCTCTCTCT